AGCTTGAAATATTTACATTTTTTATAATTTATATATACTTTGTGTACATATTTAAAAATGTCTATAATTTATTATTAATTCTTTTTTTTTTTTTTTTACTAAAAAACAAATATATATACATATTTTATAAACAGCTTATATTTATTTATAATTGATATATATTTATGTACACATTTAAAAATTCCTATAATTTATAATAATAATTATTATTATTTTTTAACAAAAAGCAAATATATTTACATATTTTATATTCTTAATTTATTTCAAAATTTTTATATATTATTATTATGATTTTTTGTTCAAGCAAAAATTAAATGTATTTACATATCTTATATATTTTAAAATTTGTATATTTTACTGTAAAATTCTTCTCCTAAATCTAAGTTTACTTATTCATACACTTAAATTTTACCGTACATCTCACGAAACTCTGTTTCGAATCTAGTTTGAGCTGAAAAATGCGTTTCAAAAATATTGACAAGCACAATAATTGGTCCTTTTGACAGTTCGATGCTGAAGCATTGGTCACAAAAATTGCCTGCCATTTGCAAGCGATGCATGAAAAATGGCAACGTTTGTGCGCTGCGATTGGGGATCTGGGTGGTCTGAACGGAGCTGAATGTCCTGTGCAGATGTTCACCTGGTTTCAGAAACATAAAACACTTTTTGTGCCCAGGCTTGTCTAGGCGACTGTCCACCTACCTGGCCGCCCACCACCCAGGGTGGCTCACTCAGTTGTCTGCCCTGTGCTCGCTCTCTGGCATTTGTTTGCACGCAAAGTTGTGCTCCTGCTGCTGCTACTGCTGCAATTTCTATGTCTCCAGCTGCTGCTGGCGTTGGCTTCTGTTCGTCTTCATTCGCGACAAAGTCTTGTCGCATTGTTTGCCAATTGCATTGTCTGCCTTTCAGCCACGTCCGCCCTGCGACTTCATCGCTGGCATGTTTGCTTTTGTAGTTTATTGGCAGGAAATGCAATTAATTAAGTTAACTTGAGCAGGAAACTTGGCCACGAGACTCTTTAAATTGTTTCAATTTGCTGCATTTATTGAATGCGTCGACTTAGCTGCATCTGTGTGTGTTCTTGGCTTGCATAATTATGATGTATATCCTGCGGGCCAATTCCCCAACTAATTACCAGCTCTGCGCTGCTCTGCCGGCAGCCAACTTGGTTTTGGCCAGTCCTGTAATTAATGCATTGTGCCTGGGATTTGCTGCTGCTGCGGCTGCGGCTGCTGCTGGCACACATAATCTGTTACATACATCTTTTACTCACACAACTCTCGCTTTCTCTGTCTTTCTGTGCTTGCAGGTACCCGATATTGTTCGCTCAATTTCAGCGGAACGCATCTTTGCCCTGCGACAGCAGACACAGGTCCTGTGGGAGCGCTACTTTGGCTCCATAGAGAAAATCGTCTTCACAACATTCGAGGTGAGTTTGCCAGACTTGATTTTATTTGCATGCTCTCCAGTTGCTCAGCTGCCATAAGCTGACACGCCCACATACTTTAGACCTTACGACAAGCTTCATCAACCAAAAAAAAAAAAAAAACATGAATAAAATGAGAAAAAAGAAATGACAAGAAGAAAATGATCCACAAAACTCTTTAACAAGGAAAAAAACGTGCACATGTTGGATCTGACGCACGAAACTAAACTAGTTGCAATACTTAAGTAGGCAGCAGCTTACCTCCATTTCCATGCTCCTTGCTCCCCACCATCCACTCCCCCCGCCCTCAAAGTTTGTCGCGAACTTTTTACGGAACGTCAGCTGCAGAGTTCTATAAATATGCGAAGTTTCGTACGTAATTGACAACACTTTTGTCCTCATCGAGCATGTCGAAGAGCCCAGCGTCTGCGTCAGCTCAGTTTCGTCATTTACTATTTGCCCTCGGTTGACAAACCGTTACATTTGAGCTTCTGCATAACTGCTCCTGCTCAGCTTTAAGTACAAACTGATTTCAAAATTATTAGACAAATGTAAGATATATTATTTGAATTTGCTTGGAAAAAAAGATAAAAGAAGGATGTAAAACATGAAGATGAAGGTGGGCCGAGTAAAAAAATTAAGAAGAAGATATACTGGGAGATTGAAATGGAAACTGTCTCAAAGAAAGAGAAGAAAGCGAGAGATAGCAGGAGGAGAAGGCGGAATAACGAGATACAAATTGAAAC